CAGATGGACAGGGATTTCTTCAATTTGGAAAAATCGCACGTAGGTTTATGTGCTAGTAGCGTTCAAACGGGCGTTTTGCCGTCAATTTTCAGTAACAAGAATACACTAAAAAGGGATTCTGGCAACACCACGTGTTAGTCTATTTTTTGTTTAAATTTAGCAACTGGATTTATTCAGTTTTTCGTTATCAGGGCCTAACAATTAATTTTTTCTGACGAAAATCTGCCGTTTCTTCGCGCAGCATTACATAACTTTCCCCCTACTACGTATATTACTCTGCATATACTTATGTGTACGCGTACGGGATAGTAATAAACCTCTTTTTCGGTATCGGGGGACCCCAAAACGTGTATTTCCATTGAAATCTCGAAATCGTTTTTCCGCAGCATTACATAACATTACCTATACTACATATATTACTCTGTATATCCATATGTAGAATATGGATATGGTTATATATGGAGAAGCAAAAAATGATGGGAAGACACTACGCATTATCATTATCAAAATCTTCGTCATGAACTACAAAATTGATTTCAGATCGATTTCTGTTTAAACAGGCTTGAAAACAATAATAATAATTTTACAGATGTTCCAGGATGATTCATTTCCTTTATTATCTTCATCATATGCACCGATCATTATGCAAATGAAATGGTGTGAGCATGGTTTCGGTAAGCAAATCGTAGTGTCTGATGTCACATAACTGAGCACCCAAAATCTTCTATTCACATCATATCAGAGGAATAGTACTAGTTGTTACCATCATTATTAACATTTGTAACAATGTTAATGTATATCAATTAATAACAATAATCATTAATAACAATTTCTACTTTGAAAAGTTTATACAATAATATTATTGTATTTAATAAAGAAATTGAGTCAACTAAATCTTCAATAAAGCAACAATTATTTCAAAACAATAAATCACAAATGAATATCTTGTTTCTGCATGGTTGCCTTCAAAGCTCGGAAGGGCACTAAATAAAACATATAATTTGGCTCTCGTAAAAAAGTCAAGATAAATTGTTTTGTTTTTTACCTTTTTTATTGTTTTTGTAACATTTAAACACACAATCTTCCATACATCTAATTCTGCACAACATATATGAAACAAGAAATTTAAGGCTACTGATTTCTATGAAACATAGAAAATATTTAGGATCTACCAAATTTGTGGAATCATCTGTAGTGTGTCTTAAGCAGTGAGTTCATAAATTTAGCTCTATACAAAACAAGTGAGCATTTTTGTAGTAGTTGCGCATTAATTCCTCAGGAAGGCTACTGTAATTCTACAAAGTGAAGTATTTGTACATTGTATTGAGAGATATAATTTGTTTACGAAATTCTACATACTACTCAACATCCTTGATAAATCTTTTTTGCAACTATTTGTACAAATATTTCTCAATATCACCTCATAAATTGTTTTAAAACAATATACTACTTTGGTATGTGACAATCTATGGTCCCACATTAGTAAATTCGTCTTGGTTAGTAATTTACTCAGAGATCTCTGAATTTCAATGACATTCAATAAAATGTTCTCTTACAAATGCTTATTTATCTTCATTTCAGGTTACAACATAGATGCTGACTTATAATTTTTATTTTGACTTATTAGGTCACCTGGATTTCCTAATTGGCATACATAATGTTTCAAATGATTTTCTCATCAAAAATCCAATTAATGCAACATACACACCAGACTAAGAAATTTAGGGTCTGTTAATACAAAAGTAATTCAATTAAAAGAAAAAATAAACATGAATCTCATTACAATGACCATGGATAATTTTGTTACATATTACTTTATATTATCTAAATACATTGAAGAATATTATATTAAAATCTACGTAATAAGGGATACAAACACAAAGCATCATTGTGATAAATTGCCATGTAGCTTTTCATTCAGTAACAAGGAAATACCCAGTTCTTTTGAGTCCACTAACTGAGCTGCAGAAGATGTATGTATGTTAATTTTATCTACAACATATTTTACATTACCTCTGCGCTGTCACAGAATAGTATAAGGATCAGGACATTTCTGTTAATAATTGTTAAAACTATAATTGCTTGCAGAAAAATCTGCAGAAAAAATTATAATATAATCAGAATATCCAAATCTGAATACTCCAATATTGCAAGTTGAAAAAGCAAAGTTTGAAAGTTCAGCATATATTGAAACAGAAAAATATATGTCAGAAGAATTTAAATTAATTTAATATCTTGTTGGACAAGCAGATTACAGACCATTGTGTAACAATTCAATATGATGTGTATTTCTTACAGTTATTCTGGTGACTGTCCCTTCAAAAAAAAAAAAACACTGCAAGAGGTAACATAATATATATTCATAACATGTAGTCATACATTACATTGATGTTAATATTATATCTTAAAGATATCTGTCAACCTTCTTACTACTTTTAATGTTATTTTTATAAGCTCTATCTAATTAATTATTTCAATACCTCAGTATCATATATACAATATTGTATAAAAATGTAAAATAATATACAAATATTAATTCTTTATAATCTTCATGGAAAACATGCGATGTATAGAACTGGTATTTCAAAAACAAATTTAACAATAATTACATTTGACATTATCTTCAGAAAATTCATAAGGAAAACAGTTCGCAACGATACATTGAGTTTATAAAACTTGTCTTACATCAAGACACATTCAATTGTCAATTATTTTAATTGAATTTTCCTACATAATAACAAGGAGGCAAAATGGTAATAGAACAAAATTAGCAAACTTATTTTCTTTCTGACACCAGATTGCTCAATTATTACTTCTAACCAGTAAGACAAATTAATGCTTCAAAAGACACAACCAAATTATTTTAAGCAGGGTTATTGAAATGCAAGTGTTAGGACCAAGGTGCTGGTAAAGGCAGAGGCTCATGTGCAGATTGCATTTGAGCACTTTTTCTCCCCTCCCCTTTCGTCAAGCTGACTCCACATGCAACAGTGACATTGATGACCCATTGATGAGCACTGGGCCTGCGCATGGAAAGAAGACTGTCTCCAGAGCAACCGTAACCTACAGTACACTCATCACTTATTGGAAACAATAAATTGGTTTTCGATAAACATCTCAAAATTTATAAATTTAATAACAAAATTCATAACTGTACCTCCTAAAATATTTCATTTTCTTTCAATTTATTACATTTCCAAACAGAAAGCTTTTCAAACATTTCAATGATGTTAAATCAACATACCATATTATACAATAATTTTTTCTTCCTACAATTTTTGAAGAGTGTCACAGAATGAGTTACAATTAGAAGCAATTTCTTCATTAATATATAAGCATCAACACCTACTGAGTTCACCGACAAAAATACCATTATTGTTGTTGATACAATAAGTCTCAGATAAACATTAATGCAGAAATGGAACCTTTTGCACCCATAGGTTTTTCAAGTGAGAAAATGTTATGAGGATAAAATCAATACAATTTTGGATGATACTTATTCTTGTATTTAAATATAGATTAAAGAAATGTAAAAATAAAAAATACCTTTATTAATAATACATTACATTATTTTTAGATTTGAAATAATACCATTCTACGTGTATCCACTGTTTCCCAAACTCAAAATATTTTAATTTCATAATCTTCCCAATTTTTAGGATATCTGCATAACAAAAGTGTTAATGCCACAAAAATTTACAATTTTTTTATCTACAGTGACTCAATGGACTAGAGTTGTTTACATTCTGTCAGATTGCTATGGAAAGAGACTTGTTTGTAACTGAGGAGTGTATGCTTATCTGTTTGCAGCTGTTGTTAAGAGTTTGCCTCACATCCAAACAAAAAAAGTCTGTGTTCAAATCTTGAAATGTTTGTAGCTGCCCCAAAAAATTGATAATTTCTTACTTTCACACTGAAGATCCTGTTACATTTATAACAGCACAGGGTAATACATTCGTGAATGCATCAAACTTTTCCAGACAGATTCCCCTATCAACTTTGGCTTTTGTATAGCATACTATCTTTTCTTTCATTTGCTTTGAAACAAAGGGTAGACAATCCTCAATTTCAAGTGTTTTTTGCGAGGTGAGAAATTTTTGAAATATTTAAATACTGCAGCACCTCAGTACAAAAGTCAATGAATAAAAACATTCATCGCCACCATTAATGTGTCTGTAGAAGCATCTTCAAGTTCCAATTGAAATGAATCTCATACTTTAGAATAAAATTTATCTCTATTGTCATTCACACAGGTACCAAAAGGAACATTTTCTTTTTCGCCACTCAATTCATTAATGTCTCTCATTCAAGATTTCTTTCAATCAATCTCATTTAAGATATTATTTCAGTTTATTCTTCACATAACATTATTTTAGGAATTCTAAATGAGATTCACTTAAGTATAGATGAGAAGGTAGGTAACACACATGCACTATTAAGGTTTCAAAACTCTTCTAAAAATTAATTTTTGCCAATTTTCTCAGCAATCCAGTTTTGAGAAGACACTTGACCATTATCAGCATGCAACTTTAATAAACAACACCCTTTCAAGAAGCAAAAACGTAAAGGTGCCGAACAATAATGGGCCCTGTATTTTTAAGAAGGATACATTATCGCTTCACTTACAATATCCTCCGGGCTAAAGGATATTTAATAACTTACTTCTCACTTTTCAGGTTTTATGAAATTGAAAATAATGTATGTGAACTATTTGAATTAATGCCCTTCCAATTAATAATTTTTCCCTTTTTTTCTTTACCATTTTTCTCAAAATGTATTTCACAAAAAAATATTTAATTGCAAAAATAGTTTTTATTAAAAAAATCAACATGTTATTTTCTCACATATTCAGAATAGTGTTCTGATGAAGACACATACCCCACATGAAAACGCATGCCATTTGTTTGGGCTAACCTCTGTCTGCACTACATGTACAAGTGTGCAAGTATGACAAGTGCACAAGAGCATTAAGAATATTATCTTTAGGTGTGGAGAGTATCAGTGATGTCATGCTTCTTGATCTTTAATCCCAATTTATGAAAGAATAACAGACAATCATCGCACATGTATAGCACAATAAAACACTATAGTATATGCTACTGAGATTGTTTGCTGGTCATTGAGTTCACAATGGCTATCACTGCTACCAATGATACAAATTTAATCCTAAAAAAATAAAATTCAGTAGAAGCATTATTTATTTTTAAAATTAGTGTAACAACTTATTTTGTTAATTTAATTTCAGATAGTGTACATTTATTTTGTTTCTTTGTTAATGTTCTACAATTAAGAGAATAGTTTGCCATAAAATTTAGTATATCCCTTTTTGCATAATCTTATCACTTTTATTAGATTATATATATTTTATTTATTTTTAATAATATTATATATTTTGCCATTTCATACAACATATTTTTCCAAACTCTAGAGATGACTGCTTCTGAAGATTTAGTAGTTCTCGAGAATTGGTGCAGTAAAAAAGGAACTGGGCTTAAAGGCCGCATTTCTGCATCTGAGGGTTAATTTACAAGAAAAAAAAACAACAACAATGTTTAAAAGTTAATTTTCAGGTATATCTGGAATTAAAAATATTTCGAGCGATCTGGAAAATGCTTATCTGCAAGAATCAATTAAAAGTCACAAATGGAGAAAAAGAGAGGTCTTCCAGTGCACACTAAATGAATATCCTACTGTCAAAGTTTCAAAAGTCCTGAATTAAAAGAATTGTAGGGTTCAGGAGGAAAATGGGTAAGGATCAAAGGATGCGTGACTAACAAAACATTAAACTCAATACTAATTAAAAAAGGGAAAATGTATGTGGAATGTACTATTAGTTAAGTGAAGGGGCAATATTATTATCTTTTTTAACAGATGATTTCTTTAATTACAAGGATATTTTTTATCCCAAATGCCCAAATATTTGTCTAATACACAATTTAAGCAATACTCTTACACAGTAAACCAGTATATTTTTTCAGTCTGCAGATATGTTAAATTACAAGTTCATTATCTTTTTTAATAACAAATACAAAAGTACTACAACACCCAAATTATACAACACCATCTTACAGTGAAAAATGTTTTAAGGAACTCGTACATTACATGATTCTCCAAGAAACATACAAAGTTAACACGGAACTCTACTGTTAATGGAACTTAAACAACATGCAGAGTTTGCAGTTCTCTTAAACTTCCAATCACAATTTTTTCTAAAAAACACCTAAGTACTGACAACTATGTCTGAATACTATTCGCAGTTCCAGAATTTAAAAATAAATTCTATCTTATATCAATATAAAACATTTGCAATTCATATCATACTTTACATACATATACATATTAAATACATATTATAAAAGCTTTGAAACAATGTGGCAATCCCTTACCAAAAATATGAAAAAACTACCTTCAATTCTGCACAGTATTCTTCAATAGACAGAAGTAATGTTAGATGGAACCAGTCAAAGCTTCAGCATAATCTGCTTCTTAAATTTCATGTGTTTTGCACAGAGTAAGAAAGTTTATAAGCAGTTTGCATAGCAGTATAATCTTACAATAAGTAATCCAGTCTTGCAGGTAATAATCAACAATATGTAGAGATGTTTCTTACACAAGACAGAATTGCTACAGAACAGCATGTGTACAAAATCACAAATATAAAATTCAAGAACTCATATAAAAACTCTAAAATAAAATTCATTTCAAAATAAAATCTCTAGAAAATCAACAAATAGTCAGACTAGAAACATGACTACAGAACAATTGAACATGAAAAAAAAATCATGAATAAATAGAGATAAAATAGATTATGGCTAATTTTAAATGTCTGGTCAAACACAACCAAACTACTAATATTAATACCATACAATGACATAAGGAAAAAACAATAAATACAAAACTGAATCTATATCATACAAGAAAATAAAATGTACAAAAAGAAGAAACTAAACTATTGATGCTCATCTCCAATTATTTATATTTCATTTAGCCTTAAGGCTCTCTCACTTTCATTCTATTTATACAGGTTTTACTTCTAATGGCAATGTCGGCATTTAAGGAAGTAAAACTATTATATGAATTTTAAACAAAATACACATTTTAATGAAGCCTACCTTCACCTTTCTTATTAAATATGAATTTAAAATACATCTCCTTTAAAGCAAAATGAGTTAACATACATTAGTAGAAACTAAACCACAGAAAAATAAACTGATCAAAATTAGCTATATATATAAAATTTACTGCTTCGACACACAAATATAAGAGAAAATCATTAGCACACACATCTACAAAAAATCACATGAACAAATTATCACATTCATAAACCAAGGAATTAAATATTATCCACATGATTTTATACAATTCAAGCTTCATACACGATTCCTGTGTAGTACTCTTCCTAATGAAAATTTTAAAAATTGGACTTTTGATACTTTGAAAACTTGTAATATAGAACACGAACTTTAAGAAAAATGTTGTTTTTAGACTATGAAATTCATGGGCTAGATTGATTTCTTAAATATTGTTTATATATTAAAAAGAGAGAGAAAGAGAGAGAGAGAGAGAGAAAAAGATCTTATTCTCAATTTTATTTTAAAATTAATGAAACCTTATATGGTGTGAAATAATAAAAATAGTGAATTACTTTTATGTTGATTTTGAAAACATTTCATACAAAATGGATTGCTGTCAATTTCAATGTTGACATGTTTTGCAGTCAATTTCATATTTCTTCTTGCTAATTGTGATTCTTGTAACAACCACCGAGTCTTTTCCTATGAATTTTTCCATGTGCACATGTCCATGAATTTCATAGATAAGAGGTTGGCGCTGGGATTGACTACTGGGAAAAAGTTTTGTTTGTCCCAACAATGTTTTCACAACACAACATCAACATCACAGCCTGTATTGAAAGTGGGCAATTGAAAAACAAGAGCACAAAAATAATTTGTAATTCATTTAAAATCAAAAATGTGTTTCCAGTTGCTGACACAACTAATTCAAGTAAAATTTTGTTGTATTGTCTCATTGATATTTTCTTTAGTGACTGATTACTGGGCAGTTGGTCTGATGCATCTATTTCTCTCTTTGCTCTCTTGCTAATAATGAACACCAAAACCTAATGATAGTCTCAACCACAGTGACTTCATAATGTATTAAACATGTCTGATTCATGGACTTGACAAAATACTTTTGTATTCATGTACATAGGAATCATATGTGATGCAGAGAGAAAACTTCACATATATCAAAAATCCTGTATGATCTGCAAAACAATTTAAACTTCGTTAGATATATGTCATCATTGTAGTTTCTAGTTAAGCTTCTGAGGATGTGCATATCAGCCTTTCGAAATGACAAGGTTCCATCAAACATTTCAATACATTCGAGAAAATGTATGTCACAGTTTCTTTAAATCATTGTTTAGTCATCTTTCTACTAAATGTAGTGATTTTTACTGTAGCTATTTGCTCACAGATTGCAGCGTAAGTTGTTCTTGTAGCAGAAATCAGGCAGAATGTTTTGATATTAACTTTCAATATTTTCTTGTAAATTTGTCAGCTGAAACCTTGACCTTCCAAAGGAATGATACACAGAGTCTTAGGTTAACTTGCAACCCAAGTCTGAGAGCACTTGTTCTTGCTTTGGCAATTCAGCAACAGCATATTTATTGCCACCTTTTAAAACAGCCGTGCTTCACACGTCAAGACAGCAGAGAAGGTGACCATCAGGTCATAAGCTGCAGCAACTTTTCTGTTTCTCTGTTTTTCCCATTCAAGAGTTATGGTGGGCAGATACGTGGCTCACATGCAAGAAGCTTTTCGTGCTGCACACAGTGGGTGGGGTGGAGAGGGGTGACCAGAGACATGAGCAAGAAACAAAACGTCTCTTTAGGTGATTCTGTCCAGTATGCTTAAGAAACAAACTGTAATACTGAAGATGTGGAGGGAAGTTATAACTGTTTTCAATTTATTAACACCAACGCAACAATAATTATTATTTAATGAAAGTTTCTCAAAAAGAAATCAGAAAGATATCTGGTGAAATATTACTGCCAAGCTCTTCATTATTTATAACAATAATAATAATTATTCAAAGGTATTTGAAACTTCACCAAATTGCCAAAACAAGAGGTGGTGTTTCCAGACATGGGTTGCAAGTTAAGCTAAAGACCATGTTTTTTTATAAGAGAACAGAAGGTTTATTAATGAAAAAATATTGCAAATTCTCTAAATTAAAATTTTCAAAATAGTTGTATAATCTGAGATGAGGGGTTGACCAACTAAGAACGTTTAGAGATGTTCTATAAAATCGTACAACTAATATTAAATAAAAATGGACAGTAGAAAATTAAGAAAGAGATGTATTCAAGAAACACCCGCTTAAAAAGGTTTTCTCTTCATGGTTCATGTGTATCTGCCAGTTCTTTATTTGCATCAATGGCCAAAGCAGGTGTGTACACATTACGCTCGGCATGAGAAGTACGCTGCAACTCTCTGGAGAAATACTTCACCGTTTTACGCAATCCCACATTGAGAGGCACCTATGCAAAAAACAGCAAGATTTTACTTGACTGCGATATTATTATTATTATTATTATTATTATTATTATTATTATTATTATTATTATTATTATTATTAAGCAATTTACAGATTTCTTCATATGGTATTAACTAATTTCAATATAAAAGTATATTATTTGTTAAAATGCCACTATTCAAATTTTTGAAGGAATTCTCGTAACTTTCATTCCTGAATCAAAATTATTAATTGAACAATCAGGTCCATATTTAGATATCATTACAAACAAAATTGGCTACATAGTTATCTTATTAAACTAGAACCAGCTGTTCTAGAAAACTATGGAATACATGGTTCTCTGAAACTTCCCCCACCACTCTTAATGTTATTACTTAAAAACTACTCATATTTAAAAATAAAATGCATGACATTTGAAGATTTACAATTGAATAAAATTATGCAGAAAAAAACAAAGCCACAAAAATCAATATGATTGGAACGTTGGGACAGATCTTGAAATTTCAAGCAGTAAGGATCCACACTGAAAATTAGTAATGAGTGGGATGTGGATATAGAAAAATTCTACATATTCACAATAAGGAAAATAGAAAACACTAAAATCAATGTCTTATGTCATTTAGTATTTACTTTCAAATTAATGAAATGACGAAAGTTTACAGTTCTGGAACAATACTATCACTACTAACTGTGAACACAAAGTTGAACATGTTTCTGAAAATGTAACTGAAGTTTTTTTCACAAGATATATTCTTGTATGTTGCAGGCAACTGTGGCAAAGAAATCCTACAGTTCATCTTAATTTAAAAATGTAATTCACTACATATAATTAAAGTGACTGAATTTTTATGAAAAGAGCCAGAGCAAAAGAGCAAATGAGCAAGAGCAAAACAAAAACACTCTTTGAATTTAAGAAAATAGCTGTTTATAATTTTATGGAAATTTAGTGTTTATACCTTAAAACCAGTTAATAAACACAAGCGATAAAATATCTGGGGTCCACTACCATTCATTTAAAGCATAGGGCCTGAAATTTGGTTGCATAGAAAGCTTAAACAGTTAAACAAAAATACTTAGTGCTTTATATATAAAGATTTTTGCAATTTTCTAAATTTCAGAGGTTTTAATAAAAAACCAAATTATGCCATTCTTATAAATGCACTTTCTTCTATTTAAGTCAAAAATGTTAAGCCTTTCTCCAGAAAACTTCAAAAATGGTACAGAGGAGTCATGTAAAGGACCCCCAAAACTTAAAATATCTTAATCATCTGCAGAAGAGTAACATTAGATCTAACGTCTGCAGAATTTACATTTTAGCTCAAAAGCTTCTAATCTCACTGAGTTATGTGCGACCCATCAATCCATTCAGACATCCTCATTTTCAGGTAAAAATTCTGAGTATATCCCTCTCCACCTCTATTAACCGTCTTTTGAACAGCACACACAGACATTAATTCTGAAGAATGGGAAGTTACAGATCAAAAGGAGCTTCAACATACATTTCACAAACAAAAATTGAAGACCCTATTGTTGAAGTGATTCCAATACTTTTCTTCCCTTTCCTGTAGAATTGGGAGGATAAGTAAAAAGTGTGTACTAAGATAATTCTTAACATGTTAGAGAAAGAAAACATTATTGCAACTAGAAAAGCGCTTCCAAAGTGTAGAATTTTCCCAAAATTTTCTGTCTCCCAAAGTACATGGCCACTATAGAAATATTATTTAATTCTCCCCCACACTTTTGAAGAACTTTGGAAAAATGTCATGTTTGTGGTTTCACAGATTTTGTTGTTCAACTGTAGAGGAAGCTATAAAGGACAAAATTGCAAACAGTCGCCAGAGAAATTGAGAAGTTTCTTGGTTCAAAATGCATTTATACTTGGTAAACATGAACCATTGCAAAAATTATTAAGGGAAGAGGAACATTAAAGTTTAAGATGACTTGATGTATCATTGTTATCTTTTAAAACAAATTCAGAGGTGAGGTTAAAAATTGCCTCAATTGACTTACATAATAATATTCATATACTAATTAGTAATATCAAGTACCCTTATAGAAGGCATTACTATATAAGAAACTCCCTAGTCAATTTAAAAGCAAAAACTCTAAACGCACATTCAAAAATGATCTGAACACTTTCCTGTTTAACCATACATTCCACAGTTCAAAAGAATACATACATCACAAACACACATCTACATCAATATAATTAGTACTAATAACTTTGTATATTCTGATCCTTGTTTGAAACTCCCAAAATGATTGTATGACATAAAAGATGTATCAAGCCCATGTATCAAGCTTGTAGGAAAACTACTTTTTCCTTTATTTCCTTCATTTATATTATTATTAGTTTTCAATTTTAATCTTCTTACACTACCATTTACAAAATTAATTAGAATTGCATTATATGTAGTAACAAAATTGAACTGAATACATACATTTCCCCCTTGTTCTTGTCAAATGTAGAAAAGGTTTTCCAAATCTAAACTTTGCAGAATTGAATGCTGGATGTGAGCAAAAGTATATGCATTTCAATATTCTTTGTTTAAATTAAATAATGTTAATTGTATAGATTTTCAGGAGTTCCATGGACATGTATTGTAGACCCTTTGATCAACTGGATTCTTAGTTTTAATTCGAAATATTTTAAATAAAAATGTGTTTTGCCAATGAGCTACAATGTACTACAGAGAGTGACTGAAGGGCCTCCATTTAATTTAAATACTGATAAACGAATAGACAACTATCCAGAAATAAGATTTGCAAAGAAGGCATATCTCATGTATTACTGCAAAAAACATGGCAGCGTCGAGTATCAACCAAGAGCGCTAAAACTGTAGGGTCAGCCACTCTGTGTAGTACATTCTAGCTTGTTAAATACAACAGTCATTTTACAAAAAAGGATCAATTTCCAAGTTCTAGTAATGCTTTTCTTTGGAGCTCATACTATTTGAAGCAAGAGATAAGTGATACAAATAATTGAAGTGGCATATAATCTGAGCAAAACTGTACCTTAGGTTCCCAGCCAAGATTTCTTTTGGCACGTGATATGTCAGGTTTCCTGCGTTGTGGATCATCCTCCACAGCAGCCACTTGCTGAATGTGGCTAGGGCCACCCACCAACTCCTTTATTATCACAGCAAACTCTGCAAAAATACATTTCCTACAATGACTGTAAGTGGTAGATAATTAAAAATATATTTATCTTCCATTCATTTACCTTCTATAGTATGTTCAGTAGGATTTCCTAAGTTGACTGGCTGTGTATAGTTTGAAGCCATAAGTGCAATCAGCCCATCTACTAAGTCAGAAACATATTGAAAAGATCTCGTCTGCTTCCCATGACCATATACCTATATTTTTTAAAAATTTTATTAGAAGAAAATTCTGTACAAAGAGAAAATCTGATAATATATTTAAAATAGTCAACCCTTAATTTTTATTTTTATCTTTATCTTATCAATAATAAATAATAATTATTACTTAATTTTTATTTTTATCTTATCAATACCATATGTGCATAACCTTTGTGACTTAGATGAATGGAGTTTTAATTCCCGTACTGTTTCAACACAAGTAACAAAATGATATTATACAATAGCATTTTATTAATTTGTTTCACTTTTGCAAAAAGCAAGTCATAGCAAATATATTTCAATCCTGGTGACAGTTGTAAAAGAATATCCAGAATGCCTTTTGAAAGCCTTTAACCAGTGTCTTGAGCAAGAGAAATTCTATAAGGGTTTGAAATATCAGAAGCTAATTTTCATACGGTAAGGTAACAAGCCAATTAATCGGATGTCATCGTTCAGACTTTTGTGCCTGCTGGACATGACGAGCAAATTACTGAAGGGTTTGCTCCTTCTACGAGAGACATGTACAATTTTCAACGAGACTGTTTGGATTTAGAACGGGACTCTATACAATAGACGCCATCTCAGAAGCAGTCCACCATGCAGAAACAGCAGGGTTTTTGTGCCTTGATTGCGATTGACATCAAAAATTCATTTAATTCTGACAGCTGGAAAGACATTATACAAACCCTAGTAGCTAGGAAGATCCCTGAATAGCTTTTCAGGATTCTGGAGGACTACCTCACTGAGAGGAAAATAATCTACACCAACGGATATATGATTGAGGAAGACACGATGTGCGGTGTCCCACAGGGATCAAGATTGGGCCCCTTCCTGTGGAATACTCTATATGACGACCAGCTGAATATCGAACTTCCAATGAAGACCAACAAATCACTACACAGGATTAAAAGATTGTTGGACCAAAGAAATCTCCAGATGGCTGTTGCCAAGACGGAGGCCGTGTTGAACCTTTTAGTCCAAGAAAGGATGACAATGTACCTGAGGACGACAGCAGATAAACAACAAACCCTGCCAAAAAGACAATTAGACAATATCAAAGCAGAATTGAGAAACCATCTCCTGCACCAGTGGCAAAACCGATTGGACCTGGAGTACAAAAGGAAGATGGACAAACAGCCTCGTCCTTAACATCAAAAATTGGACCAGCAGAAACCTTGGTACAATGGACTTCTACTTGACGCAAGCCTTCTCAGGGCATGGGAACTTTCAAGCATATCTATACAGATTTAAAATCGCTGAAAGCCCGATATGCGCACTATGCCATGAAGAAGACGATGACGCTATGCACATCATATATAGTTGCAAAGCTTGGGAGGAAGAAAAAAGAAACAGCTACAGCAAATTGCGACGGGAATTAACGCCTTCAAACACAGCCCAGACTATGCTGCAATCCAGAGACAACTGGAAAACAGTGCGATACTTCGTGGCTCATGTACTAAAACAGAAATCCACTACTAAAAGAGAGAGCTAAAATACCATAGCGACCATCTGAAGAGGAAAGCTCCTGCTCTCAGCCAATCTTCTGTGTGAAGTAATGTCTCAACGATGGTCCCGCACAGAAGATATCACGACCCATGAGAAACGAGGAGGTTAAGTTTTAGTCGGTATGCCACGCTGGAGAGCTCAACCTAACCGGACTCATCGGTATGCGTACGCATTTCCCCCTCCTCGGGTAAATAAATAAAATAATAATAATAATAATAATATAAAATAATTCTTTATTGTTTCCATCAGTTGAGAGTCTTAGTAGGTATGCAGACATCAGGTTCCCCTTCACCAATTACAATTCAACACAATACATTTCAATTACAGGACAATTACAAGAATACAGTCCAATGTCAGAATACATTTCATTTACATCTTATTAACAAATATTTATATTAATAATGACTATTTTGTGCGTTTTAAAGTCATTACTTTATTTATTTATTTATTTATTTAAATTTTGAAAAGCTTACTGGTGTTTCTAAATTAAATGGAACTTTGTTATAAAACTTTGGCACTAGGTACTATATTTCAAATATCATTCACTGTACTTATTATGTCAAAGGAATAATATATTTTCTTCTAATGCAGATCCTCATTTTGAAATGACAATCACAGATTCCACTGACAGGATAAGGCATCCCACAGTGTGATCCAGCAAAGCTTGCAGCAATACATGAGCAAATGTTTCGGTAACTTGAATACCTTTAGGGTAACAGTGCTTTCTTGAATTTTGAACTATTTTATACGAAGGAAATTTTTAGGAGCACTTAGCTTCCACTAAAAGAGATAGTGCACCTTCTATCTGCCATCACCTGCAGCGGTTCTAATGATCTTTACACTGTTTCATAGTTCTGGGCCTGTGTCGGTCTTGCAGTCATTCCCTTGAGTACTTTAGAAGCCTACTTTTGCCCTTCAGCTCTAATTTTTTGATGAAAGTTAAAATACTAGTTGAAGGAGAATTTTCTGTAGGAAATTTCTGAATGACCAGATTTCTTTTGTTACTGTGAATATGAAAAGTAAGAATCAAGACAATCCTCATTAGGTGTTTTTCCCAAATTTTTCATTTATTCTTCAAGCCTTCATCCATTGCTGTTTAAATTGTGACTTTAGATAACTTACTTTTTGATTTAATTCTCAAATATTTTTGGGACCACATTTTGTTCATTTCTTCAGTGTTTTGTTCAAGAAATCAAAATTATAGTTTGTATTTTTTGCTTTAAAGATTTTCACGATATCTAGCAGTTCTCTCCTCTTGATACGAATTGTTTTAAACTCCGACCTGCAATAAAAAATATTCTAAGAGTATGACTACCCGTTTCAGGATATTTAACTTTTCCGTCTTTTCCTTAAAAATTCATTCTAGTGAAGAAAGTATCAAAAGTAGAAAAATCAGCTGTTTAAATTTTTCTATCACAATTAAATAGGGAGAAAAAAAATTGAGCTTTGATAGAGCTTGATACATGACTAAAATGACCTGTGTTTTGTAAAACAAGTCATTAGTTCTAAATATTGAACATCATTACATGGTAGATTGTTTCTGTAAACCTGAAGGTTGTAATTCTTTTTCTTATACGCAAAACAAAATTAAATACCTGAACTTGAAGCTTGGCCAAAAATTCTTCAGACACACCATAAAGCCACATGAAATTTTCTGCAATGCCTGTGATCACATGGAGAATACTGCAAAAACTGAGGGCTCAATCAAAGAAGGATACATTCATGCACATTCTTCTTCGCAGAAAAGAGTCAAAAGTTTTCATCCAAGTTCATTTTGTTTTTACAAATTTCAGACAGGTTTTGCTGCCATCTGCCCCGTAGTACATTATCGTTCAGTTTGGACCATTATTCTTTACATTATTTGCTTATTGTTTTAAAATTTTCTTTACAATATACATTTTTTGCTTTGTGGATTTCACTGTTCAATCTATGTATAATTTTTCCCTGTAAGCATAATTTTTTGAGTTGAATTTCCATTTCCTAAAGAGCCTATTTATTTTACTTCACTAATCAGATTGTTAGTGATCCAGTCCGTTACTCCTATTCTGATGATTCTTGTTCACTTTCACATTTTGCTAATATTTCAAGTTAGCTTCATATCATAAACATTTTTAAAATTAAAAATTACCTCTTTAGAAAACACTTCAACATTTTGATTTCTGTACGTTTCCCAATCGTGAATTTTGATTACAATTACATTTTGATATAAGCCCCTTACTACACATCATTCCTTAATATAAAAATTAAATAAAATCATTGAGAACTTGACATTGAAAACTTCGATATCAATGTCGTATTCCTACTACAGGTGTTCACCAGCCTGGCTGGGTCTGTTTCTTTCTGACGCTGCCACCAAGATATCTACCAGTCACCACATCCATCATTATTTAATTGGTTGTCCAGGTGACACAGCATCCATGGCAAAGGTGTCGACGTTTCAGTCACCATTCTGTGACCTACCTTAGGGCATAATGCACCCTCAGGTAGCAAAGGCATTACTCAGGTAGCAACGACGTAATGCCTTTGCTACCTGAGGGTGCATTGTGCCCTGAGGTAGGTCACAGAATGGCGGCCGAAATGTTGGCACCTTTATCATGGACGCAGCGTCACCTGGATAGCCAATTAAATACTGACTCCGGTTGCGGAAGCCTATGCTCTCACTTCCGTACGTCCATGTGACTTGTGACGTAACTGTCATGAGGTCTGATAACAGTGGCAAATTTTTTATGCTAGCTTCATAGCTGAGTTGATGCCAACCACCATTTGGCGGAGGAGAATTGAAGCGGCAGGCAACACTGAGAGGTCCTATCAGTATAAGCTGAATCTCAGAGAAGTTCATTAACAATTGAGGACTGTGCACAATATCTTACATTTCTCATCCTTGCCCCTCCTCCCCCTTACACACACACTTACTCTTACATGCACTACACTATCACACATGTTGGGTTATCAGTCAGGAGCTTAACACTTGTCGTGACTGAGACGGTGTCCCACTACGGGAGATTTCTAGGGGAGGAAAACACCTGCAAGTCCAAGTGTAGGTTGGTTTAGCTTTCCACCGTATCGCATATACCAATAGGGAAGGAACACCATCACCTCTTGGGATATGACCATTAGATTTAGAGGATCATAGAAGTTGACGCGGCTGGAAGCACTTAACAGCCAACCAGGAATGGAAGGAAGAGGCTTGAAAGGAGAGAGACCCACCACAAATATTCATTCCCGAGGTGGGATTCAAAGCAGTGACCCTTCAAATCAAGATATTAAGGAGTATACACCTTAATGATTCTGGTACACTTTTGTATGTATTGTTTGCTTTTTTGTGCAGACATTGTCTAGTACTTTGTAGTGTTGGGTTTAGTTCATATAAGATTTATTGACAACAATTTTGTATGCTTTCCATTAGGATTTAAGACAGTGGATACTTAATGTGATACTAATATTATTAATACTATTATTAATAAGGCATATTTGAAGGGAATGGAGCAGTAACAAGAAAAAAAATGCACCAGCCACACGAGGTAACCTGATAATTATACATTCTAATAGTATTTCAACTTTGACCCAAGTATCGCTTGTCTTTTTACTACACCAAACCTACAAACAAGACGTTCATATTAACAAAATAGACTATACTTAGAGGAAAAATCAAGTTATTGTCTTTTACAAATGGTGCGAGTCTTTGTGTGACTGGTGTGGCTTATTATGTTACTGCTCTAAGACATCATTTCTCTCACTAAGTAACTCCATTATTTTGTCTACCTTCTGTATTTACTTATGAGATCCAACACTTACTGTTATAGTCTCATTTCGTAATGCCTGAAGAATGAAATTTGAGACAACACGACCATCATTCATGTGCATGCGAGGCCCATAAGTATTGAATATTCTTGCCACTCTCACATTCACTCGTTCTTGCTTAGCATATGCATAACTCAAAGTCTCTGCTACTCTTTTTCCTTCATCATAGCAAGCTCTTGGACCTGTTCAGAAACAAAATTGCTAATTTTAATATTCTTGCTAGTGTACACATGAGACAGTTTTTGTTTAATGTCAAAATTTAAATTTAGGTCAAAAACAGTAAAAATCTGTGTGTGATATGCAATGGGGAGAAGCTTGAGGTTACATTTATATGTTATAGGTCATATCCCTTCCATTAGTAGGAGTGTGATTAGTAGTGTTGTGGTCGGATGATGATCTCCACACCCTTCAAATTCCTAGTTTTTGTCTTGGAGGTTCCTATTGTAGGGCACGGCACTCAAACAAGAGCATATAATATATAATAATCAAATAAGAGATACATAAAGAGGTTTGTGTTTTAATGCAAGATATTATATTTATTCTATCTTCTTGTCATAATTCAATTTATATGCATTTAAAAATGTTTTTATCTTACTACTTTCAAAATTATCTTACTTTGCCTCCATAGACCTCCAGCAAAGCAAGCTTAAAATTCAGAGTTATTTAATGTTATATCTGAGTGCTGCAGGTTGCATTTGTCATTAATATTTGGATGCGTTTTATAAACGAATTCGTCTTATTTTTAAACTCACAGTGCAATTCGTCACATCTCCGTGAACTTCTCTTTCTTTAGAGACCGAATTTATAAATGTTGGTTGCTTATGAGAGCCACAAAGGGTATGTATACTACAGTGACACGATTAGTCAGAACGGTGCTGGTTTGGTAGAGGAAGCATTGATGGCCGTCAGGGTAAAAATTGAAGAATTTTTATAATTACTCCGAGGAGATAGAAAACGGACATGTGATCCATGTGCAATAGGAAAGAAATTTAAATGTGATTTATTGGAGAAAAGACTGTATATTCATGAGATAATTAGGTCGAGAATAAGAGTCAAAATTTATTAGCTAAAATTCAGAGTGGATGTAAGAGCTCCAGGTGGGAATTAGGAACTGACGCTGACATCAATTCCAAAGCCAAGATTTTGTAAATTTTTTAAGAGAGAAGTTCAGGCAATTTGTGACAAAAAGACATTAATGAAAACATTATAGCAAGGCCAAGTTATATTTAGATATTAAGATAATATTAAGATTGAGAAAGAATTGTTATGTGTGTTTTGTTTGTAGAAATTTGATTGCCATCAAACAGAAACAGTAGAGAAATATAAAGATATATTGCTGAACAGTAAAATTAATTAAAATGAAATTTGAAATTAATTAATTGTTGCAGCCAACACTTACTGTCTCTGGCAAACAATATTAAACAATATTAGTAAATTGTTTAATTTATCACTAACAGTAGTGACAAACATTTCCATAGAATAATTAAATTATTTACCACCCAAATACTCATATGACGGTATTTCCAGGCCCACGTAAAGAAGTATAGTACCCTCAGAAACGTAAATATGCTGACGCCAAGAAACTAAATTAAAACCAGAGCTAGACACTCCATTAAATTAAAAATATCGTAAAATTGTAAATATTATCAAAGGAATTAAGATTTCCTATAATGGCACGCCCAATACGAGGCAATTATATGTATAGTAAAAAGTTTTAAAGTAAATTATTAAAAGATATGGGGAAATGATACATTCATTTCAATAAAGGATCTCTATTGTGCCTATTGCATAAAAAATAACAAGGAAAGAAACTCAAGATGAAAACTATTATGTATACATTGTCTTACCAATGGGATTAACATGACCCCAGTATGTTTCAGGCTGAGGATGAACCTCCGGATCCCCGTAGACTTCAGATGTACTAGCAATCAAAACTTTTGCACCCACACGTTTGGCAAGACCTAAGGAAAAACAACATTATTTTAAGATTGAAATTAACACACAAGACATTGAACTTTCAAAGATATTAGTATTTTTTCTAATGTTATTATTAATGTACAAATTATTATTTGAGCCTCCTAACTACTAACAGCACAACATATTTTTTAAAACAATTGCATTGTTTTATTGATGTGATTTCTGGAAAATGTACTAATTATCTGTAATATTTTTAAGACAAATAAGAATCAATATATAATTTGAATTTTCAACACCCAAATTTGTTATTACAGTAAAACACCTTCTTTACTCTTTTCATGGGACTAGGGGAAAAGAGTGTAAACAAAGGGAAATGGTTTTTTTTCTTCAAAACTATACGTAGTGTATGTATTTAGATTCATACAATTAATAAGGATTATAATATGTTTTAATATGAAGTACTAAATAAAAATCAATATTACAAGATCAAATAGAAATCAGATCACAATTTATGACATCGGAAATAGAAGGCGTATTAACCAACGTACAGTGGATTTTAAATGTTGCAATGACACTGCCAAGAGTCCCTGCATTCCACTGATTATACCCTTTGACAATGCAACAATGCACTCATTGTGGAATCAAGGGAGAAATGGTATTTCTACTGTAAGAAAAAAATGCAAAGTTAACATTTTCCCAAACTCATAAAATTTGTTTTTGTTTTTGGTAGTTCGTAATTATTTCCAAATAGTCATTTTTTAAATTTATTTATTTATTTATGAAATAATTGAAAGAGTGTTCATGAAACTAATTTACAGTTAAAAATGTATGGAGAATTCCATACTTTGATGTTTGAGCTTTTAAAGATTGGGAAAAAATTATGTTTATATTAGATTGACAGTGTGTGAAATTGTGAAGGATGATGTAAAATAAACAAATGACCGTAAGGATACCTCTCTTAGGCCTGTGTCATATGAGCATTATGTTTATGCGTGTCACCAAACGTTAATGACTGTGCACACGTCACATACGTCAAGATAGTGTGACAGTCAAGATAGTGTCACATACTCAAGATAAAGTGCGTTTTCTATCTTTCAACACGCAATGAGCGTTGGGAGCAAACCCACATCGCCAAAAGCGCTCGTGTGTAGTTTCGCGTAAGGAGTGAAAATACAAAAACAGATTGTTAACCCCCCCCATGTAAAGACATTAAGGAATATGCAAGAAAATGTGTGAAACACATGGAACAAATGGAAGTAAGCAGACTCTCTAAGCTAGAGCTGAAATATTATCCAAATGGCAGAAGAGAGTGAGGAAGACCAAAGAAGAGATGGAAACAATAGATTCACCTAGGGGACCTAGTCTATTAGTCAGGGGTCAGGACCCACCTACCTCCCTAACAGTTCATGGTGACACTGTTAATACTGATCACAAGTATCCCTTGTACTGCTAGGTTCATCTTAAATTGTTCTCTTGAAGCAAATTTTATATTATTGTTTATTTCATTGTACCAATTATTTGATAAACATGTTTTTCATATATTTTTATATCATTTTGAAGTGATTTACATCCAAGAAATAAATAAATAAAACAAATTAAAAATTCTTACCTAGCATGTTAATAGTTCCAACAGTGTTTGTCTTGATTGTCTTCACAGGATTGTACATGTAATGTGGAGGTGAAGCAGGACTTGCAAGATGATAAATTTCATCCACTTCAATAAAAAGAGGGTTCACAATATCATGGTGGATGAGTTCAAAATTCTCGTGACCTATCCAATGCTCCACATTGCGTTTACGTCCTGTGAAAAAGTTGTCAACAACTATTACTTCATGTCCTGCCAGCATTAACTGGTCTACTAGGTGAGACCCCACAAAGCCTGCTCCACCAGTCACCTGAAAATATAAATAAATAAATAAATAAATAAATAAATAAATAAATAAATAAATAAATAAATAAATAAATAAAATAAAGAAAGAAAGTATTTAGAAAACAAATTTCAATGTCCATAACTGGTCTTCACAGCTTGTAAATCAGAATTATCAATGAATTAGTAAAACCAGGATTGATATTATTTGGATTTTTACATTTAATTACATTTCACAAAATTGGAATTTAAATCTGGATAGTTTAAATGAAAATTCCGATTTAAAAATTGAAAAAGAATATTTTGTACTTTGATAAATTCTTAAACTATTTTTCATAAAGTAGAGAGTTAATGGCACTTGAAAGTAATTTAGTGATGTAAAAATACGGATCCAAACATGAATGCTCCAAACGTAAGGGAGATGTTAGGGAAATTAGTCCAAAGGTTGGATCATATTGAAATTTTTGAATTCAATGTAGGATATTTCAAGAACATTGAAAATGAAACCAAATCAATTCAATTCAAGGAACTACAAGAGCTATTAAATACTTTATGCATTGCCCTGTTATCTCTATCTATATACAAATGAAAGGGAATTTGTGCATGTGTCACATATAAATGCAAAAACTACTCGAGCCATTTTGCTGAAATTTTCAAACTTTATTCATATCAGTAATGGGAGTGTTTAAATTAGAGTTTGAAGTAAATTGAAGATATGGGGGGCATTGATGATTATTATTTGTTTAAGACGACTCACTCGTTCCTGAACTTAACGCAACCCGATATACAGTCAAGGATCAGGCTTGCCTTCACTGCATACAAGTATTCTGCCCTTGTCATTGTGAAATATCAGCCGGAATTATTACTTGAATCTCTGACATTTAAATAGAATTTCTCCAAGATAAATGTTGTAGCAAGCGCATGCCAAAATTTGAGGGACAACTTTTTAACAATAGGATACTTGACAACCATCTTCCAACTAGGACACAGACCACACCTATACTTGCAAAAAAGTCTTTTATCTGTTATTTTTAGACAGTGTACAGTAAAAAGCGATTAACAATCACATGTGTGTGATGTGCAATACACTAGAATGGCAAGCATTGTGAATCCACTGGTTGTAAATAAATCTGCCTCAGCCTCATTGAACACACTAGGAGGAAAAACAAACAAAAAGGCATTTTGAAGCAAAAACTTTTAGATAACATTTGACAAAATGAATAGTGAATACAGAAACGAGTTTTCTTTTTTCTTTTCCTTATAGATTTGTATATGTGTGATCACATATTCTTAACTGCAAAATTACAATGATTTGTCCAAGTATTGATAAGAGTTCCAAAAATGTACAGGAGGTAGCTATAATTTTTAAGGGCAATATAACATTGTTTTTTAATTTTATCAAACATTTTAATTAAATTTAATACTTCCACTTCATTCTCCTCATACACTAACAATTGTCAACTTTTAGATTTTTACATATATGAGGTTTTCATTTGAAGTCAATAATTATTTTGTTTATATATCTAGATCTGAAAATTCTCCAAACCCAGGTCCGCTTTTCCCATAAGACACTTGCACTTTTTAAAACTGTTCTGAATACCCAAACAGAAACATATTAGCACTAAGCAAATTTCTTTTATAAAATGTGACAAAGTGGCTTATCTATGTTGCCATTTTGGAGATAGGTGTTCTTTTCTCTCAACTTAACACTGAATGACAACATATTTGTTTATTTATATAACTTTAATTTGTTTCCAGAAGATTACAACACAGAAACTCCACACTATTTAGAATGTCATTTGAAGTGTAGCTGCAGTTCTGTTTCGGAAATTTGCAACATTGTTGGGTGGAGTCATTTGGTTGTAAAAGTGTTAGAAAAAATCCTGTCTTAATAATTTTTTTTGATGAAGGTGAGCATTAGCAATTTTTACTGAGAGGTGGAAGCCACAAAGGGACTGATGAGTGAAGCAAAGAACATCTTTGTTTATGAAGCACAGTCTGAGCACACTAATATTCAATACCATGGTAATATTTTGTTTAAAATACACATTTGTGCCACAAAAACTTACAGAAATAAATTTTCTGAAATTTAAAAAATACTAGCAGCCTTTTTCCTTAAAGACAGAATTTAGGATTATTCTAAAAGCCTCATTTCCAAATAGTTTTTGATAATAAACCCTTTTAATAATATGGAATTAAAAAATATATGTAAATATCAGAATAAGGAGGATCCTTAATTAGTTAGGGAAGAAACTCTGTTTGCTTACATGTACACAACTGACAAGTTTATGTATCTTGTGAAGGTTTTTCTCATGATTTTCAAATTGTTTGCCAACTCCAAAATCGGCACTCAATCAGATTTAAAATAATTTACAAAAACTGAACACTGTCACAAAATTGACACTCCAATTTTCACACAATGCTCTAAGATCCTCAGAACATTTCAAATGGCTGTCAAAAGATCAACAATTTTTGTTTAGCGATATGCTTTGACAAACACCAACTTTCTTCTAAGACTTTTCTAGAAATATAGGCTCATAGTCTCTTCCAAAACACATTCCACTCAAAATCTTATGTTATTTTGTCAGTATTTGTAATACACTTTCAATTATTGGTAAATAGAAGTATCCCTCCTTCATGCATTAATTTTTTATAATGATTTTCTGATTTTCTCTAATAATTAGATGATTCAGATTTACAATAATAAAGTACAAAAGATCACTAATGAAACCAAAATAAAGTTATAAATTTATTAAGCTGACTCTAAAACTGAAGTTGGCATTGCGCAAGTCAGTGGGTTCACATGACCTGTGGTTTAGGCTACTACAGCTTCCTCTCCCAGGAAAAAGGAATTCGTATATTTCACAGAATTCATGAAGACACCAACTACTTAAGTATTTTCAACTGCATTTGAAGAACTATTAATAATAATGATAATGATAATAGTACTAGTACTAGTAGTAGTAGTAGTAGTAGTAGTAGTAGTAGTAGTAATAATAATAATAATAATAATAATAATAATAATAATAATAATAATAATAATAATAATAAAAGTAAAGAATAATAATAATAATAATAATAATAATAATAATAAAAGTAAAGAATAATGAAATAATATGTACATACAAGAATTCTTTTCCTCGATTTATAATTGAGAAATTTGACATCAGGGAATCGCTGAGGAACTCTCAACTCCAACCGCCGTAGCTTGGCTTCCAGGTCTCGTATGCGATGCTGGGCTTCTGCCAACTGTCGACTCTCTTCAGTCCTTTGTGCCCCTCCAATTGAATTTGTGACATCAGGTCCTGATTTCTGAACTTCAGAGCGATGATTTCCATCTCTAAAATCTTCACGTTTTATTCTATCTCTGTTATAAGCATAAATGTCTTCTGTTTGAGACCAATTTATCATGAAACATAATACTGGAAAAAAAGAAGTAAGAAAATGAGATAAGAATAATAAAAATTGCATTGTTCCAATTCCACGCAATATATATTTCAGTCAAATAATTTCTACGATAATTTAAATAAATACACGACTCACTGTAATTTAAAATGCAGATCTCTCCCAAAACAATTTTACAACCCAAGTACCAAAAAAGCATTCTGAATCAAAACTAATTCTCACTATAAAGGGAATAAAAAAAACCTTAAGAAATTTCAGATATTTAAAAAATACAACAAACTCAGAATGTGCACCATATTTTTGATAAATGACAATGAAGTACAGTTTTATTCCTATTATTTATTCCTAGTATATGGCACTCATTATATAATTGTCATAATTCTAAAAAACCTGTTTTAAAAAATATTCATGCCCCTCCTAACCTCTACACACAACTCCATTCACACAACGTCTTTCCCATTATCACACCATAATATCTTAAAGTCAACCACATGCAATACATTTAATACAGGTAGAAAACAAACATGCCAAGCTAAAAAACGGAAACAACTGAATGACGAATACTTGATAATTCCACCTGCATCCCAAAAAAAAACTTTGCTTTCAAACTTACCAACAATGCATACACCTACAAACAACGTTAATTGCTTGTAATTTCTTCTTACAAAATTCATTTCCGCAAGGAGTTAGACATTTTAGTGCTATGCATAAACTAATCTTCCTTTTAAACACCCTGCAAGACCGTACCGGATTGTACCAGATAATGTCATTGAATAGGCCAAGGAAACATATTTGTGATCTGTTATCGGCCCTCAATCTGATTATCCCAATCAGAACTTCATGACAATTCAACTTTTCCCCAAACCATTTTAATATTATTGTGGAAAATATAGGACATCAATTCGTACTAATAGAAACATTGCGGAGTGAAGCTCAAATCCGCAGCCCTTGGAACTCGATTACTTCCCGCAAAAAACAATGTTTCCCTAATGCTTCTTGAAACAAATTATCTTGACAACATATAGAATGTTAATTTATGGTTCTACCAACTAGTGATATTTAAAAATGTCAAAATCTGTCATGCGAAAATGAATAGTAAACACCTTTCCATGTTATGAATTTTTTGGTTCTGAACATACAGAAAGAAAGGAAGAACGCTCTCTGTTTTTTTATAGCAGTGAGGTATGAAACTTTATGAATATTAACTATAATAGTGGTTCTTACAACAGCACAAAATATCCCTCATTATTTGTATCTGCAATTTCCGACAATTCGGTGAGTTCAAAGAAAATCGGACCTTTATAAGCGTTCTTCGGACTATCCGAAAAAACAAGAGAAGCATGTACTTTCTCGCCTCACTAACGATTACTTGAAATTATAATACCACGTTTACTGTCCATGTTAAACATATTTCAACAATCACTTGTAAAACTCATTGCCAATCGTAACATAAGGCGCGAACTTTAAGCTAACCCATCAACACCATAATTCGAACCACCGTTCCTTGCTCCCAGGAAAAAAATCTCGGAAAGTATTCTGAACATTTCAAACAGTCGTCTAGTTGCGTTCCCATTGATGCAATGCAGCCTGATAACTCTATAAAGATTCTAGCAACGAATGTGCGGGAAATTCCAATTTGCAAAGTCGAAAATACAAAATTACGTTACACTACTCTCGTTTTTAAAACACTGTACAAACCTTTTTTTAAGCACTGATTTTTTTAGAGCATATTTTATCTCTGTCATCAATATTGCATTTTTTAATGTTATTTTTTGTTGTACGCAATTTTCCAGCAATGGGACCAGCACTACTTTCGTCATTGTATTCTGCTACATATTTAATATTTTATATTAATATATAATATTGCATTGCAGGAAAAAAAATAAAGAAAAATATTGGAGAGATTTTTTGAGAAAATAATTGTTTAAATATTGCTTATGTATCACGCAATATAATGCAAAAACAACTCATTTTCGAAAAATTGGACATGGACGTATTTCAAGATTCATTTTTGATGAACAGATTTCATTAAAAAAGTCTATCTTCAATAATGTAGTTGTTGGAAGACTTAGGGGGGAAAATGAACTTTTGCAATAGTCGACAATTCAGAGAGTTCGCCGAAAATGCGACCAGTACCAGTTTCTTTACCATTTTTTGCTACATAAACTAGTGGTACTACAGAATGACACAGACTTTCCCGTATTAGTTTTCTATTTCCTTTGGTTCCGGCTAGCTACTCGAAATTGCCACACACTCTTACCTGCTGCCATCTATCGCCGCCCAAAGTATATATTTTTCTTAATTTTTCGGTTTTTTAAATAATAGAATGGAAATATTATTTTAAGGATATTAAAAAAACAGTAAAAGCTCGTCATCAATGGCAGTTTTCTTTTCTTTTTCACAAAAAACTTTTGACATTTCGAAAAACTTCATTTGAAGCATTTTAACAAACAAATACAATGGAGTTCACAAATTGCGGAAAATGTGCATATTACTGGCATAAGAGATCTTTCAAAAAGTACATTTGTGTATTATTTGAACCAACCCCCCAAAAAATACCCCGAAATGAACTTTACTTGATATTAAAGAATGCAATTAGCACTATCCCTTCGAAAAGTTTGAAGAAAAAATTTGGAGCTGTTTAAAAAAAAAGGCGTTAGAGTGTTTCTGAAAATGCAGAATTTTGAACTAGTAAATATTAAGTACGTGAGAAATAACTCACAAAAAATTTGTAATTACTGAAAAAACTAAAGAATAGAGTAATATGGCGTTTATGTTATCTTACAGAGTACATTAATCATAATCCCTTCAAAAAGTCAAAAGAAAACAATTGAAGCCATTTTTGAGAAAATGTTATTTTTGTAATTTTTTAAAATTGCACATGCTCTCAATATTGCGCGAAAACTACTAAACTTTTCAAACAAATGTACTTGACCTTAATGATAGAACTCACTATGTAAAACAAATTTTATTTAAATGTAAAATTTTTATCTTCAATATTGTAGTTGTAGGAAGACGCCGAATAAAATTCGGTATTTTGCAATTTTCAAATATTTAGAGTTAACTGTGAAAATCGAACTTACGCCACTTTATAAGTGCATGTTACTCCATTCTTACAAGAAATTTAAAGAACAAATTTGGAGCTGTATTGAGAAAATGTTGGAAATGCCCGGATGTTTCAGGTGAAGTACCCCCAATTTTAATAAATATTTTTTTCAAATTCTCAAAGCTTCGACTCCAGCTAGATGGACAAGGGTTTTGTTCAATTTCGAAAAAATCCTATGAATGGTTTGGCCGCTTTGGTGTTCACAGTCAGAAGGACGGCCGGTCAGACAGACGCTTTGAAAAAAAACAACACTTTTTCGGTATCCGTCGTTCGGTATTTCCGTTGAAATCTCAAAATCGATTTTCCGCAGCATTGCATAAACTCTCCCTATACTACTTATATTACTCCATATATACGTACGTATAGGGGAAATAACTAGTGGTGCTACAAAAGCACACACTTTCTGGACCCATAGTAACGGCTATGTAACAAAGTTAAACCGCAAAACCTTTTTGCAGTTTTCGAAAAACAAACAAGTAATATCCGAAATTGAGACTAGCGCGTTATTTCTTACCGTTCCTTATCACATATGTAGAGAAAATCGTGCATGACTTTTTTTAAAGAGATAATTTTGTAAAACAGGCTCTGTCTGAGACAAAAATCTCCATCTTCAATTTTGAAATTTTAAAATGATTTTTTGAAATGAGGAAAATGCCCCGGGGAAGGTCGCAGAATGACGACCGAAACGTCGGCACCTCTGCAATGGACGCGGCGTCACCCGGACAACCAATTAAATACCCGAAAATATGCCTAACACCATATCTTATAGTCTCTCATTATATAAGTGAAGAAAACTTAAAGATCAAATTTAGAGCGGTTCTTGAGATTTTTTTGTACATTTCATTCGCAAAATACGCAAAAACTACTTGTATTTTCAATCAACTGAACATGATCGTTTTTGAAGAGCTAATTTTGTACAACATACTTTGTTGTCTGAGACAAAAATCTCTATCTCCAATTTTGAGTTTTTTTTTCAGTGTTCGAAAAATTGATGTCAACGAAAATTATATCTGTACATTCTCTTAAACGTCTTTTGCCGTATTCAACAACAAAATGTTGGAGCAATTTTTAGAAAATTTTGAAAACGTCCCAGGGGATTCATGCACATTGCCCTCCTAAATTAAACTTTCGGTTTCAAATTCCAGGGTCCGCGCCATCCGCTAGAACGACTAGGGAACATCAGTTTTGGAGAATATCGGCTGAACGGTTTATGCGCTAGCGTCGTGCACAGACGGACGGACGGGTGGACAGACAGACGTTTTGCTGTCGATTTTTCGGTCACAATGCCCCACAAAACATGGATACTGGCTACACCATGTGTTAGAGATTTTTTTCTATACTTAGCAACTGGATTTGTCCTCTTTTTTCTAACAGGGCCCGGTAATAAAAGTTTTGCGTCGAATATTTGCCGTTTTTCGGCGCTCCATTACTATACGTTCCCTTCTTATGTTAGTAAGAGCGAGAAAGTATAAATAGGGGAGGAAATAAGAAAAAATGAAGCGGTTTTCTAGAAAATAATTATTTAATAATTGCCTGTTTCACGCAAAACTGCTCATTATTTCGAATAATTGTATATTACCTTACTTCAAAATGTCTTTAAGCATCATATGTTATGAAGGGGTAAAATTTAACTTCATTATTGTGATTTTAAGAAGACGCCGACAAAAATGTTGAATTTTTGAAATTTTCCAAAAATCAAGGATTTAGACCTGCGCATTTCTTTTGAGCGTCTTTTATACAATCCGAGAACGAAGTTTAATAAAAGATTTCAAACGAATTTGTTAGAAAATTGTGAAAGTGTAATTGAGGATTCATATAAAGTATCTCCCAAAAAATAAAATATCCTTTTTATACGTTCAGAAACTTGCGTTCCTTTAATGAGATCGTGGAATACGAGTCGTATTAATTTGG